GCAAGCACAAGAATATAGCGACATGTCGATATAAACAAATCCTTCCCGGAAGGAAAGCGGCACAGCTATAGAATACCCCGCAAGGTGAAGTATCAAGAACGCTGCCTACGAGCCTACGCGTCTACATGCATGCTTTGTTCAGTTTAGAAATTACAATAACACCTGGGGCCGGTTGTATAAAAGCCGGATAGCGTCTATCCACCGAATAGTGATTTTTTCAATCGCGTTAAAATCGCCCGTGGTTTGCAATAACTTTGATTAAATCTTAGTATTTCTAAATGGATGACCTCTTTAATAATTGTTGTTTCCAAAGCTGAATTTGATCGCTTTCCAACATTTTTAGAAGGGTCAGTGAAATATCACTATCCGGTGGATACCGCTATTCAGCTTTCATACAACCGGCCCTTGTAAAATAGCTTTGTTATTTGTTTGATCAGCTATTTTTTAGTTTATTTTCTTTTAAAATGAGATATCATCTGATTACCACACATCCAACTAATTAGGGTTAGGGTTAGGGTTATGGTTAGGATAATAAGGCATAAATATAATGGACTTTGATGAAGTTTTATGTTTTTAGCCGATGTAGGCTAGTAGGTGTGTATAGGCCAGTAGGCGAGTAGGCCAGTAGACGTGTAGGCCAGTAGGCCAGTAGGCCAGTAGGCGAGTAGGCCAGTAGGCCAGTAAGCCAGTAGGGGAGTAGGCCAGTAGGGGAGTAGGCCAGTAGGGGAGTAGGGGAGTAGGGGAGTAGGCCAGTAGGCGAGTAGGGAAGTAGGCCAGTAGGCGAGTAGGCCAGCGGATGTGTAGGCCAATAGGCGAGAAGCTAAGTGTGTAGGGCTGCTGGCGCATAGGCTAAAATGTATGTGTAAAAGAGGCGTAGGTTGTAGGCTCGTTAGATCAAAGGCATTGCTTCGATGGCGGGGTATTCTATAGTTATTCCAGGAAAACTTTCTTGGAAAAATTTACCTTGCATACGTTCGTCAATAGGAAGATATTCGATCCTCATTCGATTTCATTATCATTACCGATTCCAAAAGATTTTCCATCGTTATGCCGCTGTACCTTATATTAGTGCTAGCGAGTCGTCTTACAGGTTTACATGCAGGGATTAACAGATGTATCAAAAAATCAATTAAAATTGATATGGTTATTAAGCGCACTAGTACAATAAAACTTCTAATTTGTAGCTCACAAAGTGAATATTTGTATACATGCACATGCAGTCAAATTAAACCCGAAAAATACAGTGTACATTTATTGAAATTATGTTAGGAGAATTTGTTTATATATGTATGTACTGCTAAGAGACAATGCCAATGCATGTATGACTATGTCTATATTATAATATTTGAAGAATTTTTTTCACGAATAACTATTCACCACTGAAATCTGCATTGAAAGCAGGATTTTGATATTCCACTGACTGACCACCCTTCTTAGTATGACGTTGATTATCATTAGTGACGGGGGGTTGCAATGCCTGATAAACGTTTGCTGGTTCTTTTTTGTCTTGTAACGACATGTAGTTCAAAGATTCTTGTTCTTTTTCTGTTCCAAGTGAACGTGCACCCTCGTTTCGCTCAATTTCTTCAATAACATCATCTGGAGTCTCGTAAACAGTCTCATCATTTTGAGTTCTTTGATCATACTTTGCACTTTTGTTTTTTCTCGGATCTTTTGAAATAGAATCTATGAAGTTACATAAGAATTTAGCAATAATTTGTACAATAAGTTTTTTTTAAGTTTTACACGTTTATAATCTATCTATAACCCCCTATTACTTTTCCATTGCCTATAATGTTTTTAAATTTTTCTTTACCAAACTTTCCTTTAGTTTCCTCCTGCTAATTTCACGAGGCGCCACCATGGTTGGCGCCGAACGAAATTTTTTTTTTAATTTCAATGCTGTAGATCTTTGGAAATGGCCATTTCAGAGTCTTACTTGCCGCTTCAATCGTAGTTTTTCGTGGGCAAAATCAAACTGAAACGGCACAGCGCGTGTAGTGACATCTTGAAAAATCATCTCTCAAATTCTCAAAATAATTTCCCAAAAAAAAACGGTGCGAAAATAATAACAATATACAACCACGAATATTCTGTTGTTAAAGACAACTATGAAAGATCAAAGAAAGTCAATTTACATTCACTTGATCCGTATAACAATATAGGATATCTTATTAGCATTTGCACCCCCCACTTTTACTTCTGGGGGGGGCGGCTAAAGTCTCCTTAGCCTCCCTGTTCCGCCGCCCCTGCTTTCCTTAACATATATTCCCCTGCATATCAACAAAAAATATTTCTTTATTAATCTCTGAACTTAATCAATATGCTGAAGTAACCAAGTAAATAACAAAACTTACCAAACTCTTTCATTTCCTTCGTCTGCTTTGAGGTTCCATATCCATGATCCACATCTTTATTTTGAAGATGACGACGTTGGTACACAATAACACCAAGTGAAACCAGAAAACATAAAGCCAGAATAATCAGCGGTATAAGAAAATCCACGGATTTTTTACAAATGTTACTTTTCAAACAAACTACAAAAATAATTTAAGAATCTTTATCTGGCTCGCACGTTAATCTGTGGTGCAGAGAACAATGAAACAAAAGAATAACTGAGAATTAATAAATACAAGATATTCACCTGCAGGTGCTTTGGCTATAGTTTTAAAACTGCTGCTCCATTCCGTCGAGTAGTACGAATCCTTAACAGAAGTATTAAAATTATTCACCGGAGTATTAATTCTGAATGGAAATTAATTATTTAGTACAAATTCTAGATCTGCCTGTTATTACTTGGGCAAATATGTACATACATGTACACATTTTTAGTGATTCAATTTTAAAACACCTTATTTCAAATCATTAATATAATATTCATTTTCTTACTCATTTACCTGACTCTCAAAATATCTCAAAAACACGATATAACTCGAATTGGTTGTCAAAGGTTGGTTGAAGTATTTCTCTGTTTCAAAATTATATTCTTTGCCATCGCCGATCACAAACGGTAAAGGAAGATCATCAGTACTTAAATAAGCAGTGACATAAGGATCTTGGGTGTTCGTCTGATATGCCTTGAGTTTACTTGTTTCAATATTTTCGCTTTGCAGTGAGCTGCCCGTGGCTTTTTGAACGATCACCATCACTTGCCTAAATTTATGGAAAATATTTGGTCATAATTAAGGTATTATTCATTACAGAGATCCTATAGAGTTGTACAAACGATAAGTCTCAAACGGATAATTGCTGTATGTGTCAGCAGGATATATAGCCTTCTGGTTCGGTCTGCAGACTCAAATACTATAGACACATCATATAAAGTTTCTTTTTTTATTGTAACTTGCTTTCAATTGACGTTGACTCGACGCCTGTACATGTACATAGTCTTGCTTCTGCAAGTTCAATTCTGAATATATTTTGCAAGTCTTATAAATTACCTACCGAATATAGTTTGCTGCTTTGGGGATGTTTAACGTGAGAGTGTAATAGGAAGTTGAGAGAGGATTCAACGGCTCTAAAAACAATAAACTAGTAGCATGAATATTAGATTCAAAGTATATATGCATTTAAGTTAAATTACACTAAAACTTGCTTGATGATAATGCATGTGAACTATATACTGTAGTCCTTCTTACCTCCATTGGTTATCTTACTGACTACCGAGCTTTTCTCTCCGTAACCAGCTTTTGTGCTCGCTGCGACAGTCACAAAATACTTCGTAGAAGGCTGAAGCTTTTTCAGAGTAAGTGCAAGCACCTTCGTGTTTTTCAGTCCAATGCATTCTAAAGGAGTCTCGTTGGTATAAAAGCAAACTTGATATCCAGTTAATTCTCCAGTTCTTGAACTTTCTTCAGGAGCCTCCCACGATACTTCCAATGTGTATTTACCACGAGATTTCAAAGAAACATCCAGTGGAGGTCCACTGGGTCCTTTTTTGAACGAGAAACAGATTAGTGAATGAAATAGTGAACAAAATCCAATAGTTTTAGGGCTGTGGATTAAGCTAAGTATCTGTCGATTCCTGCCGGAGGACCTATGTATAGTTGACTCATTTTTCCTTCAACTGTTTCTGGTCTCAATTTGAACAGTGTATAATTCCACTCGAAATTAAGACCCCTTAAAGCGTCTAGATTTATACACTTAAACTGACAGTTGCAATGAATTATTTAAACAAAGTTGTATATTCATAATTTTTCACCTGGGGTTAGCTTCGTCTTTATACTTTTGCTCCATCCTGTGGAGTAGTAGGAATTCTAGACGAGAGACATATAGTTAACTCCGGATCCAATGGAATTGAATATATTATTTACACATACATGCATCCTATCACATTCGTTTAGTTACCTGGCTTTCAAAGAATCTCAGGAACACGTTGTAACTTGTGTTTGGTTGAAGAGGTTGGTTAACGTATGTTACGTTTTCATATTTGTATTTTTTGCCCTCACCGATCACGAACGACACAGGGAGAACGTCTGCTCTTAAATATGCGGTGATGTAAGGATCTTGAGTGTTTGATTGGTATGGTCTAAGTTTACTTGTTTTTATGTCTTCACTTGGTGTTTGACTTCTTGTGGCTCTTTGAACAATAATCAGTACTTCTCTGAATGGAAAAAACATGACTGATGTTCACATGCACACACTTGCTTTGACAAAATATAAATGTACACGTACCTTATGTAGGGCGCTGCCTTAGGTATCGTTAAACCAACATCAAAGTGGGACATCACAACAGGGTTCACAGGCTCTATCATAAAATAACACATGTTAATTTCACTTTGGAGTAAAAAATTAACAATTTTTACACGTGATCAAATAGTGCATATTCGGCAGTTCTTCTGCCATGCTGTACGCTTCTTTAAAAAACCTTTTTTTAATTTCTTTACCTCCATTTGTTATTTCACTTATTTCTGAGCTTTTGTTTCCAAAACCAATTTTTGTACCAGCCGAGACTGTCACAAAGTATTTTGTTGAAGGAATAAGATTAGAAATAACGTATGTTAAGGTGGAAAACTTTTGTTTGAACATTTCGGACTTTCATCATTTTCCTTTGTAGAAAAACAAATCTGATATCCCACCAATTCACCGTTCCAAAATATCTTATCAAGAGCTCTCCAAGAAATTTCGAGCGAGTTTTTACTACGAGATTTAATCATAACACTGCGTGGAGCTCCACTTGGAACTATGATAGTAAAGAATAAAAACAATTATTTGAATTTGAATTACTTCAGAGAAAATCAGAAGCCTCCCCACATTATGCATACCAGCTTCTTTGGTCTTGAACTTGTGGTAAACTATTGTCTGAGTATTCTTTAGTTGACCATCCTGTGTCTTTATGCCAACAACATAATTAGTGTTTGGTGTGAGCTCTCGAAGAATGTATTGATTTGCATAATATGCGCGCGATATTCTTTTGACCTCGGTACCGTTTAGGTAAATGATAAAATGTGTGATAAAAGTGGATGCCTCAGGCGATGGTATTGTCCATGACAGATGAACAGAGAAATTTGATGGTTTAGCAACAACGTTTTGAACAGGAGCCAGAGATTGCACTGGGAGAAAGATGGAGTTAATTCAATTTGATGAAATTTTGAAATGACAAATTTAAATGAGAAGTTACTTGTAAAAAGCCGCACCTTCTCCGCAGAGTTCTATTCTGAGACAAAAGTCTGTATTTCCAGTCGAGTGTATCTTGATATATCTCACATTATAAATATCAACGTCCGTAGTCGATGCTTGAAAGCTGTACAGGTTTCCTGTTATCTAAAGGAGGATTTAGGAAGAAACGCACTTTCTTATTTCATAGGATAAATGTAAAGAATATCGCCTAATTTCACTTTTGCAAAGAAATTATAATTGCAGTCTTTAAACTAAGGTTGATTACAGCAGAATATTGATCACGCATCAAGGATACTCACGTACTGACCTGTAAACCACTACTACCGTCTACCAAACTTTCATCATGACTGTATTTCAATGAATATGATCTACTCCACTTTGTTTGATTTTTATCACCCATAACCATAACCCGTGTTATGTGATATTCGTTTTGAAGGTCGATCTGAAGATATTTGTCTCCAGACTCTGTTGGACACCAACCATCGCTAGAAAATCTCGCTTTTTTGTACTTAGTATCATCAGTAGAACCACTTCCAGAAAATATCGTGCCTGGCAACTTCGTTTTGTTTTGTAATAATACATTCTCGCAAATTTTACCTGAAACAGAATATAGTTTTTTAAAGGTCAGCAAGCTGAACGACCCAAACGGTTATGTTGTCTTTTTTTAGGATGAAATTTATTGGAATGATTTGATCAAAATCTTACTCACATGTTACATATGGTGCATCAACTTTTGATATTGCTAAAGACGGATAAAGATGGAGACAGCATCTCTCCTTTTGAGGTACGTCATAACATAAGTCACCAGCTACGAATGCATGACCTACTTCAATTCCCTGAGTTTGACTAACGCTCCCCAGTGTCCCATTGAACCCGAAGTGCTGACACAGCGATTTTTCACGAGTGATATCCCAGATTTCCACTTTCACTTTTCTCCAAGTGGAAACATTCTTTATTTCAATGAAACCTTCGTTTGGTGACTTTGATAATCTTATGTTCGGAGCTGAAACAAACAAAATACTTAATAAAGCGTCTAAATTTCGAATATATTTACTATCTTTTTGGAAAGTCTTGTAGCTTGCAGACAATGAAACCTTCGCTCCGTGACTTTGATAATGTCATGTCGGGAGCTAAAACTGTTGAACAATGTATATCATTTGAAATTAGCGTTATTATCCGAACATTTTGCTTCTGTATCAGAGATCCCAACTTCCTCCATCTCAAATTGCGAGGAATTTCATGCGAGGAATATTTTTAGAGGAAGGCGGTTCACCTTGAGGCTAAATTTTTCGAATAAACGACCAGGATCAAGTGGATCCGAATCAGTCGACTTCTAACAAATGAAAAGAAACCTGAGCGACGTCAAAAACAGTCTTAAGGTTGATATCTACTAGAACAATTTTTATAAATGGAATCACAAAATTTGATTTTTTCTATCATTGGACTATTTATAGTAATATAAAATCTAAGAAGACTGAACGATAACGCATCATAGCCCACCTGTTGTTATGGGACTCATATAATTATCCACACAAGTGTACTCGATATAAAGTTCTTTTGTAGTATCAGGACAATATTGTGACGACAGTAAATTATTGTCAATGGTCAGTTCACAAGATCTGTTTCCACCACAAAGAGATTTCACTTCACAACTTGCTTGTCGACTACATTTCTTATCAATCGTTGCACCGGCATTGAATGTTGCAGCATCAATGAAATTTCCATAATGAGCTTTGTGGATCACCATACGTTGTATTGGAGAACAATGAACATCTTTCATTTTGTCGCCGTACTGAGTCGCTGAACCTAACAATGGAGACGTTTTATAAAAAATGCACATTCATGTCATATTGGAAACAAACAGAAGAGAAACTCGACCCATAGAACGTGCTCTGATTTTTTGCAATAAATTAATGTAGCACAAGCCAGTAATGCGATGCATAATGCGATATGCCTGGCGATAAAAAATAAAAGGCTCCGTCCGACATGATCAGCCCAGAAGGATATTCCCTATACAGAGATGACATAAAGTTTAACACTAGGTATTATCCCTATCTTTTTTCCATATCAACAGTATAGTGTGTCGTAATGATCATAACATGAACATCTGATCAAGAGAATGGGAAAAATGAAGAGCACGAATAGTACAAGTTAAAAGGAATACTCGATTAGTTAGGCCAGGGCCTTCTTAACTTTATAACTGGGGCCCCCAGTTATAACCCTCAGCCCCTCTTCCGTTCCAATTGATGGATTTTCGCCCCCTCCCCAGTGAATGAGATTTTTTCTCTTTATTTCCCCTTTCCCTCTCAATCATGACAAAAGGTCCTTTTGTCACCCTCCCCCCCCCCGCAACGAAGAAATCCCTAAAAAGGCACTGGTTTATTCCAATCTCTTTAATCTTGCCCCCCCGCAATCTGTACTAGTTTACACGGTGCTATTTTAGAAGGGTGGCAAAAGAGTTAAATCAATTAAACAACAAGATAACGGTGAGCAGTCAGTTTAAAGGATACCTCCTCTGATTACAACCTACAGACTGCAGAGTGCATGTTGCACTTATAACAGGAAGAAACGACCCAATTTATAAGTTCAATGGCTAAGTAATTTTACTTACCGAAAGTAATTTTTTGTGCTGCTACTTCGGTGCATGAAGTATCTTTCACGTCAACATACTGCACATTAGGCTGAACACAATCATCCACATTGTAAAGATATAGAGATTCACCGGCTGTTTGTTTTATGCGATGTTTCGTGCTGTTTGCATAATCTCTCCCATTCTTATTGTCCCCGTCATATATAAGCAAACGATTGTTGTATCTTCCATACTCAGACACGACGTTTCCTTCTGTCTCGATATTATGCAATACTTCGTTATCAAGGTAACGGAACAACGCAAAATCACTCAAGCAGTTGGCGACCATTTCAATCCAATAACGGGTGCCATATTTATCTTTTCGAAAGGTTGGAGTTTTAGCTGCGAGACACTTTCCTGACTGAGTGTGTCTAAGAAAAAACCCTTGACAACGGAAGAATAAAAATTAGTTTTTTAACATTCCCTTTAATACAGATCATACGAACTAAAGATCTTCATTCTTGAGGGATAAAAAAGCCCAAAACACCTCTTAAATCATAATTGGAAGGATGCCTTATCATAATTCACGATTGAATATTCAAAAATTTTTTTAAACTCACTTTTAGTGTCGACAGGGAAAATTAGAACATAATTTTAGTGACATTAGGTAGAGTGGCTCACTCAATAATTAGGCCCAACCAGGTTCAGACTTGGCATCTTTGTTCTTACCTGCTCTTTTAGTTTTATAACTTTTGTAGACCGCTATGGACTTTTTTGAATGTCCATCCTGTGACATTATGCCAACATTATAATAAGTGTTAGGTTTCAGACCTCGAAGAATGAAATTATTTCCATATTGTACACGAGATATTCTTTCTCTCTTTGTGCCGTTCAAGTAAATGATGAAATGTGTAATATAAGAAGACTTTTTAGCCACTGGTATTGTCCACGTTAGATTGACAGAATAAAACGATGGTTCGGCGACAATCCTTTGTACAGGAGCAGGCGTTTGGACTGGTATGAAAGAAAAGCAAACAAAAATTACGCTTCAGCTGAGAGAATTTGAACTAAGAAAATATTCCATTACAGTAAAGTGCATTTTGGTTTAGTGACAATTTAAAGCATATGGAAAAAGGTTATGTCTTCAAGTTGGTGTCATATTTACCACTGAAACCTTCTCTACCTCGTTTCTTTCTTCTCTCGCTAACATCAAGCTGTCCGATATAATTTCTGTATTAAAAGGTTTCCGGATTAAAGATTCTACCGACTCACCTTCACCACACACTTCTATTCTAAGGCAAAAGTTTTCTCCACTGTTTGACTCTAACTTTATGTATCTGGCATTGTAAATATCGACGTCTGTAGCCGATGCTTGATAACTGTTTTTATTACCATTTATCTAGAAACAGATTGGAAAATAATAATTGCTTCAGTTGAGATTAAGTTTTGCGCCGGATTGCTTTCTGATCTTTCTCATGCATAACGTAGCTCGTCAACGTTCGTTGCAGTTGCTTTGATATAAACAACAACGGCTACAAGTTAATAAATCTTAACAGTAAAAGAAGTTAGTAAATCTTGATAACCTTACTCATTATGATATTGACATTAATCCATATATTCCTTTATATTTTTATATTCTTATACACCTGTACTACACGACTGCCATCAACCAAACTTTCATTATGACTGTCATATCAGAGATATACTCACGTACTAACCTGTAAACCACCACTACCGTCTACCAAACTTTCAACATGACTGTATTTCAATGAATATGATCCACTCCACTTTGTCTGATCTTTATCACCCATAATCATAACTCGTGTTATGTGATATTCGTTTTGAAGGTCAATCTTAAGATATTTGTCTCCAGACTCTGTTGGACACCAACCATCGCTAGAAAACCTCGCTTCTTTGTACTTGGTATTATCAGTAGAACCACTTCCAGAAAATATCGCGTCTGAGAGATTAGTTTTGCTCTGTAATAATGGATTCATACATATCTTGCCTAAAACAAGGAACAGTTTTTTAAAAAGTGATCGGCAAATCAACTGAAAAAGTTTCACTAAAATCCTACTCACATGTTACATATGGCGCATTAACTGTTGACGTTGTTGTAAAGGGATAAAGATGGACACTGTTGTTCAGAGATGCATCATAACAAAGGTCACCTGTTGCAATTTCCTGACCTTTCTTAATTTCCCTTGTTTTAGCAACATTCCCCAGTGTCCCATTAAATCCTAAGTGCTGACACAGCGAATTTTCACGAATGATATCCCAGATTTCCTCTTTAACTTTTCTCCAAGTGGAAACATTTCTAATTTCAATGAAACCTTCGCTCGGTGACTTTGATAATCTTATGTTGGGAGCTAAAACCACAAAAATTCTTTGGTATTGTAGTACCGTGTACATATAATTTCGAGTATTATTGATCTTTTGAAAAGCCTTGTATAGTAACAGATTATCGATTACGGAAAAATACAAAACATTTATACATTTAATTTTGGAGAATATCCAACATCTTCCAAATTTATTGTGGCATATATATACAATCATAGGCGCTCGATTTTACATTTAAAATTCTTCCCTCTACAATGCATTACTGACCTGTTGTTATGGGATCCGTATAGTTATCCACACAAGTGTACTCGATATAAAGTTCTTTTGTAGTATCAGGACAATGTTGTGATGACAGTAAATTATTGTCAATGGTCAGTTCACAAGATCTGTTTCCACCACAAAGAGATTTCACCTGACAACTTGCTCGTTGACTGCATTTGATATCAACAGTTGCATTGGCATTAAAGCTCCCGCTATTATTGAAATCACCATAATGAGCTTTGTGGATCACCATACGTTGTTTTGAAGAACAATGAACATTTTTCATTTTGTCACCGAACTGAGTCACTGATCCTGTCAAAAATGGTAATAATAAATAAGTTTAAAATGCAGAAAAACATTAAAATGCATTGAAATACGT